CACACAACAACATTCAGTATGCATACAGAGATATAAGCACAATTGTAATCACAAAAGTATGCAGACTAATCAACATATCAACATATGTATTCATCAAGAAACATTTTCATAGCAACATATGTATCAATCAAAAATACACATTTATGTTGTGTCATGACAACATCTATGTGTTGTTACAATCAATATGTTGCCATAATAAGAAACAAACACATCAGGGATTGGGTTTAGCAGTCACATTGCTCCCCCTGTCAACAAAAAACTTTATTCATACATGAACAAAAAGATATAAAAATAAGTGGAAATAATTTGGCATGCTTCAAACTAATATATTCTATAAAATGATTAATTAGAAGCTCAAAAATTGATGCCAAAAGCATACAACTACAAGCAAGTCTTGGCTAGATTCAATCCCCAAACATGTTGATATTTCATGTGGATTTTTTTATTAATGATGCAGAATATTTTTTAGATTCGGCCAAACAAGGAAAGATGTATTTGTGTTTTTTATCAAGTTGAATTTTATGTTTGAAGATTACTTCTACTAGTGCAGAACATACAAGAAAATCATACACATTTAAATCCTAATTTGATCAATCTCAATTCATCAAATAAGAGCAATGATGCAAAGGACTTTAGCAAGTGCAATTCAAGATAAATTTTCTAGAAAACTCCTAAAGAGGAACCACATATGACTCAAATCAAAGGCTAAACATAGAATAAAGACTCAATACAGATCAACTAAGACAACAAAAAATAGTTGGAAAAGCAAACAAAAAGAATTTAGAAGCCTACTTGTTGAAGACTTCCAAAAGGAAGGTTTTGTTTGTAGAATCTGGACAACAGCTTTTGCACCACTTCTAGGCACATAATTAGAGTCTTACATCACTCTTGAGGTGTTCTTGACGAGGAATAACATCCAGAAGCAAAACTCCAGCCAACAAACACACAAAACAACAAGTAAATACAACAAACAAATTAGGAATAACCCAAACAACAAGAAAACTATGGAGTATTGAATAAATTATCACCAAATTAACATAGTAAATGATGGAATTAAAGTGAAATAAGGACTAGATATTTTTTCTAACATGTAAACGAAACTATAGAAAAATACTTCACTTAAATCGGAGTTCAAAAATGTAAAATAGAAGTATAACAGTATGGCTTAAAAATTCATGTGCACGCTGGGTGCTAGAGAGGGTCGCTCAACTCTAACAGAAAAATGAAATTTGATTTTTCTATCTAACATTCATTCCTCAAGTGATCAAACCTAAGGCTATAAATATCACATGATATGGAGCTACATGCCTAGATAGAAATACAACTAAGAACTAAACAAGAACAATTAAGAAATGGAATTAAAAGACTAAAAATGTAAGAGAGAAAGGAGAAAAAACTTATGAATTGGAAGGCATGCCACTTGAAAGGATCCATGATAAATGCCAAGGTGGTTAGCCACTTGTTCTTCACAAGATAAGACCCAAAATTAGACTAAGAGACATAATTCTATCTCAAAGAAGTAATGTAATTGAATGCAAAACACTTTTTATATTCTTACATGAGCTTCCTTGCTGAGCTAGAAAGGCTCTCTGTTTGGGCTCTCGCTGGGCGAGGCGAGTGGGTTTTTTTTGTTGAGTAAGCTTGTGCTTGCTGAGTGCCACGATTTAGGCACTAGGTGAGTGTTAGGGTTGTTTGGTTGATTTATTTTCTATTTCTTTTCTATGTTTGGATTTATATGGTGTGATGATTTAAATGATACTCAGTGATATGGTTGTGAATACATGATCGTGTGGAATTAAGGTTGTAAGATTTCTAAGGAGAATTCTTCGTGGTTGTATCAAGTGTTGTTGGTATAGATGTAAGAAGCTCTGATATGAGGGTTATCTTGACACTCTGATGATCACCCATGCTCAAATAGGAAGAAGTGAGTCATGTCGTGAGAGTAGCAAGGGATCCTAGCTTGGGGGGGGGGGGGGGGGGCTTTCTCTTTTTGGCAAATGGCGTTTTAACAGACTAACCTTGTGTGGTAGTTTTGAGTTGGTCAGTTGTTCCACCACACAAGTGTAGAACCTGTCATGGCTCGACATTTATACTATATCTGGATGGTCAAGTCTAGGTTATGACCTGACTAGGATGTTTGATTAACTCTGTATGAAATGATATATAATGATATCTTAATATACCATGTTGTATTTTTTTTATCACTAACTTACCCTTACTTTTGTGTTTGTCTGTTTGTTTGTCATCTTCTTGTTTGTGATGATCACCTTAATGGTGGAAGCAGATAAGGATGTTTTTTCAGTTGCTCTAGCGAGAGAGGAGGATGAAGCAGGTGTGTATTTAGATGGTTCTATAGATGTAGTAGGTCTTTTCTTTGTGGTAGGTTTGTTTTACCTAATTGTTTTATTATCATATTTGTAACGTTTTATTTTAATAGTTTTATACTATTAAAATATGTAATACGAGTTTCATCTCATATTGTGTATAATTTGTAATATAAATTTATTTTAAATTATATAATTTGTAATACAAATTTAGAAGATAATTCTTAATGTAAATTACATTTTTAATTATACAATTCATAATATTAATTTACATTTTAAATAATATAATTTGTATTGTTAATTTATAATCTAGATTATACAATCTGTAAATTTGAAAAACAATAAAAAATACAAATTATATTTTAGATAGGGAAATCCAGAATGCTTCTCACACGCATACATTGTTACGATCTTGGATATTGTTGACAATTAACTACATATGATGCTCTTACCAATAGTACAATAAGCTTACATGTTGTAATCAAAGTCATGCTTGCATATTATTATTTAAGATCTCTGTATCTTTGTTTTTTGCATATCTTTGAATTTGCAGATTATTCCTTTAGAAGGAACCTATGAACCAAAATGGAGCTTTTCCGGTTGAAGCTCTAAAAAATGGAGGCAATGGAGGTGCAGATGAAGGAATTGGAGAGTAATAAAGGTGTGGCGTAGGGAAAGTTGATATTAAGGTTTTAAATAAAGGGTAAATTAAGTAATTTTACTAAGACTATGGAGTACAAGAAGAAAACATGGGGTGCAGGAAGCTGCCTCCAAATTTTAAACTTCTTCAAATTCCAACAATCTATTATGAATATATAAAAAAAAAAATTTCACACTTCAAGTTTTTATTATCACTCTCTCTTTTTATTATTTATCTGATTAAATTATAATTTCAAGTAATTTTTTTAGTTAAATCCTAGTGTATATGAAAAAAAATTCATAAAATTGATTATGGCATCAAAATTACGAAAACTAAAAAATTTAAGAATTAAAATGACGTACAAATAATTAAATAATTTAATTCATAATTTTTATGATTTTTTTTAATATTAAGTTGGACAAATAATCTTAACACTACAAAAAAAGGCTTTTGACGTCTATTATTTTGGACATTCAACGTCCAACATAGGACCGACGTCATATTGGGAGACGTCAATTTGACGTCAGACGTCCTTAACAGACGTCATTAGACGTCTGTTTTAATACTAACCGACGTCTTATTTGATTTTTTTAAAATAAATTTATTTTAACAATAAAAACATGCCTGAAATAGAAAAAATGATCTCAACACATCACAAAATTATGTGTTTCAAGTCATTATATATAATACTAAACAATCTAAAAAGAAATCCATAATACTAACCAAAACACCGAGGTCCAAGAACTCGCGCACAAGAACTTCACCAAAAGCTAATGAAAACGAATTTTAAATTGGTGCAAATGAAAGATAATGGTTCCAAACGTAATATAATCAATGCAAAATGATTTTAAACGATGCAAAGTGGAAGAAAACTTACCTAAACGTTAATGGCGAATTTAAACAAAGCAAAGGAAGAAGATGAATGCAGCGAAGAGAGAAAACGCATAACTAGTGCTCGCATTCTGGAGTAGGTGTAAATGCAGGGTATTTGACATCGACCCCCCTCCCAACCGATGTTAAATTGCTCTATGATGTCGGGCCCCCTTCCCAACCGATATCTAAGTGCTAAAAAAAATAATATTGACGCTCAAATGAGGTAATTTCACACCTTTTTAACATTTTGGGGAGGGGGGCCAACATCTAAGTGGTAAAAAAATTAATATTCGCGCTCAAATGTGGTAATTCCTACCTTTTTTATGTCTATGGGGAGGGGGCCGACGTCTAAGTGGTAAAAAAAAATAATATTAGTGCCTGAATGAGGTAATTTTGGACCTTTTTGACGTCCGTAGAGAGGGGAGTCAACGTCTAAGTAGTAAAAAATATTAATATTGACTCCCAAATGAGGTAATTTCGCACCTTTTTAACGTCCATGGGGAGGGGAGCCGACGTCTATTTCAAATTAAACGTCGGGGGACCTATAGCCGACATCCAAAGTCAATAAAATAATTTTTCAATTCCACGTCTATACCATATTTGACATCAAGGACCCTCCTAACAAACGTTTAGAATGACATTGTATTTACAAAATTTTCACTGGTCAGTTTTTGCATTAAACTTTAAACGCATCACGTTAAACGCTATTTCTGACCTAATGTAACCTTTTGAGTACCAACTTAAGTATTTCTTAGCTTTATCGGATATGTATTCTTTTAATTAAATATTTCTTAGCTTTATCGGATAGTTAAATCATTAAAATAATTAATAAAAAATTGTAAACTTTAAACTATAAATTAACTATACAACTTAATTAATAAATTTTTTAATAATTTATTGTTTTGATATATTATATGAATTAAAATATAATCAATAACTCAACATATACTTTAAGCTTTAAAAAGTTTTATATCCTTAACATGTGACTAGTAATTGTTTTGAGCACCTAATATTTTTTTCTAAAGTACTTAATAAATTAATTATTTTTAGTTGAAAATAAAATATTTATCCATTTTTATTTTGGTATACATTCAAGAGATATTTTTAAATTTTCCTTTTAGTTTGTCAATATTTTTCATTATCACTTTATTTTTGAGTTAATATTAGGTGCTCAAAGCAGCATGATGAATATGTACCTGTTTCTGTTTTCTCAGATCTGGCAACAGCCCTCTTTTTCTCAATGCATTGAGATATATTTCTTGTGCAGATGGAAGACAGCTACCTTTTGGATAGAAGGTTCCTTTGCCATCTTTTAGACCCCGTGTCCAAGTCCCAACATAGCAGCCTCCATCACTCCATGTATATAACCCAAGCCCGTGCATCATCCCATTTAGCCAGCTCCCTTCAAATGAGTCCCCACTTACCCAGGTGAGAGTTCCTTTCCCTGACATTCTCCCACCTTTCATATTTCCCAAATATACATTCCCATTGGCCCACGTATACTTGCCTGGACCCTCCGGTGTTCCTTGGATCCAAGAGCCTTCAAAGATATCTCCATTTGGATAAACTTGATAACCCAACCCATGTTTAAGATTTAATCGCCATCGACCATTGTAGGTCAGATTATCCGGACCAATATACGTTCTTGTACCATGAATATAGCCATCTGAGAACTCACCTTCATACATTACTCCAGAAGGCCATTGTATTTTCCCAAATCCATTTCTCATCCCCCGTCTCCACTCACCATCACATACACAACCATCTGACCATTGTTGGTTTAAAATGAGAGCAGCAAGAAAAACAGAGAACGAAGGATTGAAACAGGAAGAGTATATAAATTGAATGAAAGATGATTGGAAACTCTTGTATTATTCAAATGTCAATTGCGTACATTTATAATACTTACCATAACAAACAAACTGATTAAGATAAAACAGAATAGCTTTCTCCTAAAGTTTAGGAATAGAAAAGACTTATTCAATTAACAAAAATAATAAAGATAAATTAAATAAATTTGTCACGTGCAACAATGTGCACTTTAAAAACAAATATCTAACACTCCTCCTTGATTTTGCAACTGCAAACTCCAATCTTTTGTCTTAAGAACTCAAACTTGTTGTTGGAAGTGGTTTGGTGAACAAATATGCAACCTGATCTTCAGTTTTGCAATAAACAAGAACAATAGCTCCATCTTTCTGTACTTCTCTTAAGAAGAACAACTTAATGTTGAAATGCTTGGTTTTCCCATGAAAGACAGGATTATGGAAAATAGCTATTGCAGCTTGGTTGTCAACAAAAACTTTTGTGCTTTCCTTCTGCTCCATGTTAAGATCAATTAAAATTTTTCTCAACCACAAGGCTTGGTTGACAGCAGCTGTAGTAGCAACAAACTCAGCTTCTGCTGTAGACTGTGCAACATTTTCTTATTTCTTCGAGCTCCACGAGAAAACAACCGATCCAAAGCTAAAATAGTACCTTGAGGTACTCTTCATGTCATCAATTGAACCACCCCAATCACTATCTGAGAATCCTGTTAACTTAAATTCTTCAGTCCATTTGAACTTGATGCCAAAGTTGTGAGTGCCTTTGACATATCTAATCACCCTTTTTGCAGCCTTGAAATGCATTTCACTTGGGGAATGCATAAACCGGAATAAAATGCTTACAAAATTTAAGATGTCAAGCCGAGTTGATGTAAGGTACATCAAACACCCAACCATGCTTCTGAAATATGCTTGATCTATTTTTTCAGTTCCATCTTCCTTGCATAGCTTTTCCTTTTGATTCATTGGAGTGTTAATTTTTTGCATTCTTCAAGTTTAAACTTCTTCAAAATCTCCTTGACATATTTCTTTTGACAAATGAAGACTTCATGTTCTCCTTGTTTGATCTCCATGGCAAGAAAGAAGGTCATTAAACCAAAGTCTGTCATCTCAAACTCCTCCATCATTTCTTTCTTAAACTTCTCTACAAGCCTTGTGTTGCTTCCTGTTACAAAAAGGTCATCCACATAAAGTGAGATGATAAGAATGTCAGTTATATCATGCTTAACATATAGTGTTGATTCAGCTAAGCTTTTGAGAAATCCCAAGTTCAGCAAATGATCATCAATTCTGTTGTACCAGGATCTTGGGGCTTGTTTCAGCCCATAAAGAGCTTTTTTGAGTAAATAAACCTTATCTTCTTCTCCTTCTTTCACAAAGCCTTGGGGTTGTTCAACATATATTTCTTCTTGCAAAAAACCATTTAAAAAAGCTTATTTAACATCAAGTTGATAAACCTTCCAATTCTTTTGAGCAGCTATAGCAAGTAATAACCTAATGGTGTCCAATCGAGCAACTGGTGCAAACGTATATGAGTAGTCTACACCAAAAATCTATGCATAACCTTTCACTACGAGTCTTGCCTTGTGTTTGTTGATAGAACCGTCAGCATTTAATTTAGTTCTATACACCCATTTGACCCCAATTACTTTTCTACCTTGAGGTTTTTCCATAAGAATCCAGGTTTGGTTCTTCTCAATCATTGACAACTCCTCCTTCATTGCAGCCCTCCAATTCGGACTTTTCTTTGCTTCTTCATAATCTGCAGGTTGACAAACAGAAATATTGCATCTTTCATAAATCTCAGATAGCAATCTGGTACCTCTTACTGGATCATCATCTAGTAATTCATTTTGCTAGCTTTCATCTTCATTTTGTCTTGTGTTTGAAGATTTGAACTTCACATCTGTAGAAACCAAATTTGTCTTCCTTTTATCATCTTCCAGAAAGTGAACATCCCTGCTAATAATTATTTTTCCGATTTGCGGCTAAAAGATTTTATAGGCTTTGCTGACTGTTTTGTAGCCTATAAAGATACCCGGTGATGCTCTTTTATCCAGCTTATCTCGCTTGCTCTGTGGAACATGAGTAAAGCACAAACAACCAAATATTATAAGAAATTTCAGAGATGGTTTCTAACCATGCCAAACCTCAAATGGTGTTTGATCGTTCAAAGCTTTGGTGGGGAGTCTATTCTAAAGAAAAACAGTTGTATGTGCTGCCTATGCCCAAAATTCTTTTGGTAAATTCTTTTCATACAGCGCGCATCTCGTCATCTCCAAGATGTATCGGTTTCTCCTCTCACTAATCCCATTTTGTTGTGGGGTATAGGGAGCAGTTAGTTGATGTTCAATGCCAGAATCCTCACAAAATTGATTAAATCTTTCAGATGTGTACTCAGTGCCATTGTCTGTCCTCAAAATCTGAATTTTGAAACCAGTTTCGTTCTCAACCTTGGCTTTGAACTTCCAAAAAAATCCAGCGACCTCTGATTTGTTCTTGAAGAAAAAGATCCAACACATTATGGTAAAGTCATCAATAAAGAGAACATAATAAAGATTACCTTTCAATGAAGGTGTTCTTTGAGGCCCTGCAACATCTGTGTGAATCAATTGCAGCTTCCTTGATGCTCTCCATGTTGTCTTTGGAAAAGGTTTTCTGCTTAGCTTCCCAAATTAACAGGCTTTGCAGTTTGAAGTTTGATTCTCTAGCACCGGAATATCAAGTGCTAGCTCTTTTCCACTCATTTGCAGTAGTCCTTGATGATGATAGTGTCCGAGTCTCTTGTGCCAGATTTCTGTGACATTTTCCTTCAAAGAAAAAACAACCTGCTCATCCTCCAATGGATTTAGAGCAAAGCTCTTTCCTTTCATTTTTACCTTAAACATATTTTGACCAGCTGCATTTTTTAATCAAACAATATTTATCTTCCAAAATAACTTTAAATCCTTTTTCAATCAATTGACCAACATTTAATAAGTTCTGGTCAATTTCAGGAACAAAAAAAACATCATGAATGAACTTTGTGCATGTACAGCTTGTGATTGCAATTGTCCCCTTTCCTTTGACTGAGATATGATCACCGTTACCTATTCTGACTTTAGTGACATTAGTTGGCCTCAAATCTCTGAAAAGAGCCTTGTTGAAGGTCATGTGGTTGGTACAACCGCTATCTATCAGCCAACTTTTACTCGATTCACTGCTCAAGAAACAAGTAACTACAAATAGCTGGTCCTCCTCCTCCTCCTGATCAGCAGCCTTAGCTTCTTCCTCTTGTTGATTTTTGCACTTGCATATGATTGCTTCATGTCCCATTTGATTGCACTTGTTGCATTTAGCATCAGGTCTTTGCCAGCATCTGAATGGAGGGTGACCCATTTTGCCACAATGCTGACAAGGTGGGTAACTTTTCTTTCCACCTTTTCCTTTATCGTAATTATTTGTATTGCTCTGACTACTGGATAGATGATTCTTCTTGTAGTTTTTGGCTTGTTGGCTTTTAACTAGAAGAGAACCTTCAACAGCATGATCTTCCCTCATCGAACTTCGTTGCTCTTGGGCTTGGAATGCATGTAGCACTTCTGCAAATGTGATTTTAGACAAATCCCTTGTGTTCTCCAAGGAAGCAATAAATGCTTCATACTTTTCTGGCACCATTACCAGAATTTTCTCAACAATTCTTGAATCAGGAAAATTGCTGCCCAACAACCTTATCTTGTTGGCAATACCCAACAATTTGCCTGAGTATTCTTTGATTTTTTCAGACTCTTTCATCCTTTGCAATTCAAATTCCCTCATTAAATTAATCTGCGTGCTTCTTATTCTTTCATCCCTAGCTTACTCTTCCTTTAGATAATTCCAAATTTCTTTGGCTGATTTAAGAGTCATAATTCTTGTGAAGATGGTTTGAGAAACACCAGCAAATAGACATGATTTGGCCTTTTCTTTTCTAGTTTTTCTCTCCTTGTGAATTTTGATCTAGGCCATGGTAGGATTATCCGGCAGCGGAAGAACTTCGTACTCTGCTTCTACAGCTTCCCAAAGATCTAGAGTCTCTAGGTAAGCTTCCATTTTGACATCCCAAAGATCGTAGCTTTCTCCATCAAAGACTGGAGGTGCAACTTGTGAGAAATTTGATTCAACATCCATTTTCACAAGTCCGTAAGAAAAAGGGCTCAGGATACCAATTGTTGGTTTAAAATGAGAGCAGCAAGAAAAACAGAGAATGAAGGATTGAAACAGGAAGAGTATATAAATTGAATGAAAGATGATTGGGAACTCTTATATTATTCAAATGTCAATTGCGTACATTTATAATACTTACCCTAACAAACAAACTGACTAAGATAAAAGAGAATAGCTTTCTCCTAAAGTTTAGAAATAGAAAAGACTTATTCAATTAATAAAAATAATAAAGATAAATTAAATAAATTTGTCACGGGCAACCATGTGCAGTTCAAAAACAAATATCTAACATGTTAAAGATTTGATAACCCAACCCATGTTTAAGATTTACTCGCCACCGGCCATTGTAGGTCAGATTATCCGGACCAACATACTTTCCTGTACCATGAATATAGCCACCTGAGAACTCACCTTCATACATTACTCCAAAAGGCCATTGTATTTTCCCAAATCCATTTCTCATCCCCCGTCTCCACTCACCATCATATACACAACCATCTGACCATACATACTTACCCTGACCCTCGGGAATGTTACCAAGAAGGGACCCACAATATGACTCTCCATTAGGAAGTGTGAGTTCCCCAACTCTAAATCCAGCAACTTTAGAGGAATGACCAGCTTCACCGTTTGTCAATATAGATACACGGTCTATTTCAGAAATGGCATCAAGAGATTTTGTTCTCTCTGCACAAGAAAGTGCTCCATCCAAATTATCAACTATGGCCACAAGGCC